CTCCCCTAGAAGGAAGACCCCCTTCTAGGAGAGGGGGCCCACTCCCTTAGAAAGAAGACCCCCTTCTAGGGGAGGGGGCCCACTCCGGGGGTGTCGCGCCGCGGTTGCATCGTCTTCTCTCGTCTCGTTACTCTCCCAGGAACTTCGATGAGTGGCGTCGGTTCTTCTCCCTCCGGTTCCTTCCCTCCCCCCGAAAACTCCCAATCTCCGGTGTCCCCCCCAACGCGAAAGTTGCCTCCCCACCCCCCCGAAATCTCCAAGTCTCCGGTGTCCCCCGTAATACGAAAGTTGCCTCCCCACCCCCCCGAAATCTCCAAGTCTCCGGTGTCCCCCGTAATGCGAAAGTTGCCTCCCCACCCCCCCGAAATCTCCAAGTCTCCGGTGTCCCCCGTAATGCGAAAGTTGCCTCCCCACCCCCCCGAAATCTCCTAATCTCCGGTGTCCCCCGTAACGCGAAAGTTGCCTCCCCACCCCCCGAAATCTCCAAGTCTCCGGTGTCCCCCGTAATGCGAAAGTTGCCTCCCCACCCCCCCGAAATCTCCAAGTCTCCGGTTTCCCCTAAAGTACCCCTTTCTGTTTTTCGTCTTCTTCTTCGTGGTCTTCTTTAAGGACTTTGTTGTCATCTGACGGGGCCTCCTGTTGCTTGAAGTTCGTTCTCCCGTTTTCCGTGTCGGGATCATTCTATTCTGTAACATAAAAATTTTTTGTTAATTCTATTTCAAATAAAACTTTAAAGAGAAATGTTATCATGTTATTAATTCAATACTTATCTTTTCCATGTTTTTTTTCTCCTTCCTTTGACTTCTGGAATCGGATCCAAGTGGTTTGTTTGTCGACGTTTTCCATTTTTCCTATGTCCCCCCCCATCATCATCGTCAACCTGAAAAATAAAAATCATTTAATTAATTTATTTGTAATTATTATTATTTAAATTGTTTTTTTGTATTGTTTACGATAATTAAGTTATTAATAAAGTTGAAAAAAAAAAATTATTCAAACGGATTATTTTTTTATTTATTAATTTTCATTTTATTCCTATGATTTTTGTTTTATGTTCATGTTTGTCGTTGTTGTTGTTGTTGTTGTTGCTCGTGCATGTGAAAGTATTATAAAAGTAAAAAGTTTACAAGTACTATTGCACGTTTTGTTATTTGTTGTCGTTTGTGTCTTTACCCGTACCCGTACCCCGTACCCTTCCGTCTCATGTCCTCGTATTTCAAACAACCAAAAAAATTGTTAAAACAAACAAACAATCAAACAAACAAAAAAATTTGGTTTGAAATTTTTACAGAATTTAAAAAACGTCGGTGACGATTCGAAAATCAATGTAGATGAATACGATCAATGTCGGATTGGGAAAAATCCGGAAAACAACGGAAGGATTCAAAAGGTGAAAAAAGGAGAAGAAGAAGAAGTGGTGAATGACGAAGGACATGATGAGGAATTAGGGGAAGAAGAAGAAGAAGAAGACGAAGTAACCGACGGCGACGAGAACGACGTAGTTTACGATCCGTTTTCCGTTGTCGAAACAAAAATGGAAATAAACAACGAAAAAGAGGAAGAAGAAGAAGGAGGAGTAGGAGGAGGTGGAGGAGGAGAAGGAGGAGAACAAAATTCGATAGATCCCTCTAGATACGTCATAGTCGTAGACGAACAAAACAATAAAAGAAAACGTACGACGACGATAGATAAAACCAAAACGAAATCGACGGCAGAGGGGGCGGCGGGGGCGACGAGGAGGAAGAAAAAGAAAAGGATAAAAAATAATTCATTAGTCGTTCCCGAAAATGATGATGATGATGATGATGATGATGATAGGAAAAAGCCGAGAAAACAGGAAAATTCTAAAAGGAAAAAAAATCACTGTTGCGACATTTGCCGGGAAGATATGGGAAACGAAGAGGAATTGACACGTCACAGGAGACAACGTCACATAAATGACAAATCCGAATATTTTTGCGATTTCTGTTTGAAAATATTTAAAACGAAAGCCATATTGAAAGGACACAGGTACAAACACGTAACGGACCCCCAATTTTTATGCGTTAGGTGCGGTAAAAAATATTTCACGATAAGTAATTTGAACGAACACAGTTTGTATTGTTTGGATGAGAAAAAATTTCAATGTCCCGTTTGTAGTAAGAAATTCAACGTCAACAAACAATTCAAACGTCATCTCGTCATACACGAAGCCGACAGGTACATAAAATGCACCGTGTGCGAACAAACGTTCAGTCGTAAGGATAATTACAGGCAACATTTCCGTAGGCACACGGGTGAGAAACCCTACACGTGCGATATATGCGGTAAATCGTTTAGGATAAAAGCGACGTATAATTACCATAGGAGAACGCACAGAGACGTCAGGACGACGACGGCGGCGGGGGCGGTGGCGGCGGGAAAGCCGATGACGACGGAAGATTCGGATAATAAAACGGCAAACGAGTACGACGGTCGAGGAGGAGTAGGAGGAGGAAGGGGGGATAATTACTACGGTGATAATAACTATCGGGTACGAGATAAGGAGGATAGTACGACGAATGATGAGTATTATAATGACGTCAAAAGAGAACCCGTAGAAAGCGAAATGAGAAAAGGGGATGATGATGAAGACGGCGATGACGATGACGATGAGGGTGAAACAATTTCCGGAAGAGGAAATGGAAGAAGTACCGATTATACCGACGACGCGTTAGGTACCGAGTATTACCAAAGAAAAGAAAATGAGTACTCGTATAGGGAAATATCTCAAGTTCTACCCGATTATTTATCGAGGAGAGGAGTGGATGTCGGTCGTGGCAGTACCGGCGGGGAAGAATATCAAACCCGTGACGACACAACAAACGTACCTGAATACGCGACGAGGCGGAACGCGACGGCGTCGACGAATTATTCACAGTATTCATCCAACGTTAGAATCCGGGATAATCCGGATAAGGATAATAATAATCATCACGGAGGATTTTGATTATTTTCGGGGTGAAATTTTTATTTCGAAGAACGGAGAAAGGGGAGGGACGGAGGAGGGAGGGGTAAAAAGAGAAAGTAGCGAAAATAGGGGAAGTGAAAATGAGGAGAAAAGGAGGGGAGGGGAATAAGTTAATGTAATTAATAAAAATAAACTCAGGAAACAAAATATGTGATCTCTCATTCATTCAAAGAAAAGTCACGTCGCCCTAAGTTAAGTATGGTTAATAACGTTTTTAATTTTTTTTGAAACCGACCGCCTTAATGTGAAAACACGATAAGTCCAGTCTACATAGATATATACTTTTCAAAAAACTTTATCATTATTTTTATAAGTTACCTATTATTATTATTATTATTATTATTTTTTTTTTTTTTATAAGTAATTATGTACAAATTTAATTTTTTTTTTTTCATAAGTTTGTAGTTTTTTTTTTTTTTTATAATTAAAATAATAAAAATTTAAATGATTATATCGAGAAAAATTATTTAAATACGTATTTGTAGTGTGACGTCATAAGAGTCCTAATCGTGATAAAAAAAACGTGGCAGTAGTAGTAAAATAATGACTTTTTCAACGTAAACAAAAATATTTTAAACGAATATATTCCTTCATTAATCAATCCCCGTATTTATGTATATATATTTCGCAAATTATAAAATTGTCTTCTGCCACGATCTCAAAAAAAAGAACCCCGCGTGCCGTTTTTAAATGTGACGTATGTGCGTGTGCGTGTGTCTGTGACCTTTTTTTTTATCCCAGGAGAAATGCGGATTTACTCACTAACCCCTCCGAAGAGGGAATGTGGGGCTCGATAAGGAACGAAAGTCTAACCGGGGGACCTATACCCACTAAAACCCCAATTAAACTACCCACTAAAACTAAGCAATAGCGTGGTTTGTATGAAGAGGGCGGGGGAGACGTTTGCTGGAATAAGACCTACAGTTACCTCTCTCCGGTAAGTCAGAAAGTTATCCGTTCACACGTTAGGAGGGATTCGCCCTAATCTCCGTTCCGCCATCCCCTAGTACGTTCGACAGGTCCCTTTCAGTAGCGTCCTCCGGTCCTTCGCACGGGGGGGGAGAAAGAAACGGGAAACACGCCTACTTCCTAAGAATACAATCGGGGAGTGGGACTTAGACCTACCGTCGTCACCAGTAAAAGTTGTCTGTGTTAGTTGATCGTATCCTATCTCTAACGGTAAATGGTAGGAAAAGATAGACGAGATCGGCGGGGGTCGCCGATCCCCCAAGAAATGTTAAAAATATAAAAGAAAAAGAACTTACCGACGGAAAATTCCCGTTCGCCGACGCAGGACTCTTGCATTTCCTCTTCGGTTCTTCTTTCCTTTGGCATGACCCTTGCGAGACGGTTTCGAATCTTCTTTCCTTTGGCTTGACCCTCGTGAGACGGTTGCGACTTCCCCTCCAAAGATTGATTGGGTACAGGTCTGTTAAAAAACATCCGCTGCACCCGGCCTCCAAGAAGCTGGATTACAGGAGTGCGCCACTACTCCCGGCCTACAATGACCAACCACCACTACCCCCTAATAATAATAATAATAATAAAGGGAAAAAAAAGAAAAGTCGTCAAAGTTTTTATTTAATTATTTATTTATTTTAATTATTAATATTTGACATTCTTCTTCATCTTCTTCTTCTTCTGGTAATTATCATTCCTCTTCTTCGTTTTATTATTATTATTATTATTAAATGAATTTCTTTTTGTCAATTTTTTCAACGGAACTGAAACAAAAAAAATTCGTGTTAGAAAGAGAAAGACAAAGAGAAAGAGAGAGAGAAAGAAAAATTTATTCACCTCCGACATCTTCGACATTTTCAATTTTTCTCTTCTTTTCCCTTTCATTTAAATTCTCGTTCGTATCTTTTCCCCTTTTATCATCATCTTCTCCCACGACGACGACGCCATCTTCTTCTTCTTCTTCTTCCACGTCGTCCGATTGTGACAATATCGTAGTCGCACGATCGGATTCGAAAAATTTTGATAAAAATTTATAATAAGCGACGGCCGTTTCATCCTCTTCTTCCGTTTTTTTCCTACTCCTCATTTTCATTTCCATCATTTTAAATAAATTATCAATGATTTGATTTTTATCCGATAGGGGCGACACATTCGCATCACGACCCAACCACGTTTTCAAATCACGAGGACACGAATAATAGGAGGAAAAATTCGAATCCGAATCGAAAATTATTAAATAATCGTATAATTTATCGTACCATTCGATACATTTCGATACGATATATTTCGATATGACTAATAATCTCGCATTTATGCCGTACATGAATATCGTTTGTTTCATTGACCAACCCAAACAAAGTTTACCGTAAATGTGATGACTCGCAACCGTCGATAATTTTATTATTCTCGCGAATAATTTCGAAAATGTTTGCAATCGCAGGAGTAGCCATTGAAGCATTTGTTTCGTTGGTAAAAACGCGTGAGTTACTTTCGGTGAAATATTAACCGGAAGTGTTGATTTGTAATTGGTAACCGTCGAATAAAAATCTAATTTTAAATATCTTTTCAAACATTGATAAATCTGAAATACAAAAATAAATGAATGTTTTAGCTTGTTTGTTTGTTTGTTTGTTGTGTTGTGCTGTACCATGCCATACCTGAACTAAATTCCTAAGTCCTTTATCATGTCTAAAAGCTCTTTTGTTTAAATAAAGAAATCTCGATAAGAGTCCTGCTTCCTTATCCAAATGTGGAAGTTGATTTAATGTACTTATCATTTCACCCAAATCGCTAACTAATTTTAATATTTCTACAACAAATAAAAAAAACTTTTAAAAAAGGTTTCTTTAGTTGTGTGAGGAGGGGGGGGGAAATTATCACAAACAAACCTTTTCGATTTAATAATTGTTTTGTTCGACATGTTGGTGGAGGTTTAACATCCCATAAATTCCACAAATCAGACATTTTGAAATGTTGATTCTTGCAAATAATGAATTGTAATTGTTGTTGTTGTTAATTGTGTTGCTCTTCTTGCTGTTGCTGTTGCTCTTTTAGGTGTTTCTGCTACTCTTACTGCTGTTGATGTTGATACTCTTTCGAGTGTTTCTGCTACTCTCACTATTGTAAATTTGTTTTTATTGATACTGTTGTTGTTTGTTGTTGCTTTTAAATGTTCTTCTCCTTTTCTTGTTTTAAGAATAAGATGAAATTTTTTCAATATGACAAACAATTTCTTTTAATTTTGTCGATAAATCTTGTAACTGATGTAAATCGCATGCGAAACGAACATAATCAATTTTCCCATCTTTTTCAGTCGTCAAAACGATATAGTATAAAAATTCACCGACATGATTGCAAGCATTCGACTAAAAACAAAAAAAAAAGAAATATTATTTTCTGCTACTACTCTTACTGCTATTTATGATACTCTTTTGAGTGTTTCTCCTACTGTTAAAACATTTCTGGCGATATCAACCAACCTTGACAATGTATTCTAAACTCCAATCTGCATCGATTATATTAGGCCAATCGGAGTGACAATTATTTAAACAATCTATAATTGAATTTTTATAAAAGTTAAAACTTTTCATGTACTGATCGATTCTTGACGATTTAAAATTATGTTTTATTAAAAAATTTTTCAAATCATCTTCGCCATCGTGTCGAATGAATTCCAATGTGAGTGTCATCAACGAAGCATAACTTTCTTTAACAATGTCACTTTTTTCAGGGCAGATACTTGACACTCCTGTAAAAATACAAGAAAAATAAAAGGTTTCCTATTGTATTTTTCTAAATAAGTAAAAAAAAAAAAATTAAAATATATATATATACAAACTTTCAATATTTTGTTCTCCTCCTAAAAGTCCCAAACAACTATCGACAATTTTTTTATAATTATCATCAGTTAAATAATTTCCACTTGCTAAATATGTTAATCCTTGTAAAACATCATCAGAAAATTCCATGACAATATTTTAAACCCCCCCCCAAACAAAAAAAAAAAGGCAAAATGTATTTAATGTAACCTAAAAAAAAAAAATTTGTAAAAATGATGATGTTCAAATGGATTGAATAAATCTATGAAAATATAAAAACGACGCGACGATTATTTATCTATCTTTTCTAACAATTCTTATTTATATAAAAAACAAATTAAATTTTATTCTTTTAAAAAATCCAACAAAATAAAATGACTGAACACGATGATGAAATGCCCAACACTAATTTTTACATATAAAGCAACCGCAACCTAACCGAAACTGTTGAATTTTCCCCTTTTTTTTTTTTTTTGTAAACAATTAAAATTATCTACTTACATAAACATGTCGAAAGTTAATTACTAATAATTAATAACAATAAATTAAAGTCGTTATTTCCCAATAAAACGTATGAAATAAAAAAAAACGATTAACACCCTACACAACGCTTGGCAAAAAATTAAGTGATGCCACTAATGCCACGTCCGCGTGGTTTATTTCTCACCGCATGCAAAAAACCCGCCAAAAATTATTTCTTTTTTTCAACTGTAGAGGTCAGGGCGTGTCTCCGGAGGGATACAAAACAAAACGTTAAAAATTATTTTATTTAATAAGAAAAAAAAAGGAATTTACTTAGAAAAAAAAGGTTTTGACGATTTAAAATGGATTCCAAAAACAAAATAATCATAAAATAAGTAAGTACCTGAATTATAAATAAACACAAACAAGGAAAACAATGAAGAAAACAATGAAAAAAACAAAACAGCGGCCATTTTTTTTTTTTTAAACACATTTATTTATTTATTTATTTTTTATTTTATGTATAAATTAAAAATTATTTAATTAATTAATTAATTATCCCAACAAAATGGGAAATCTTTTTTTTTTTTTTTTTTAATTTTACAAAATGATAATAAACAATTTTTTTTAAAAAAAAAAAAAAAAAACTCATTATATAAACATACATCAGACTTTTTACGTAAAAAAAAAAAAAAAAATGAAATCAACCGTTATCGTAATATTATTATTATTAATAACCGCAATAACTTTATTAAATTTATTGATACATTATTAATCTATCAATACACATTATCGATGAAATAATAATAATAATAAACTAAAAAAAAAAAGAGGAAAAAAAGTAATATAACGTAATTACATTCTTTGGTTACAATAAAACAAAAAAAAAAAAAGTTAACGGTTATTTAACGGTTGATTTTTTCTTTTTTTTTTTTTTTTTAAATTTTCGAACGTTTTAATTTAATGAAAAGAAAAAAAGTAGAAAGAAATAAAAAAACCTTTTCGAATGATGTCATTAAAAAAAAATGAAACCTTTTCATATCGAATTATTATTATTATTATTATTGTTTAATATAAGAGAAAATAAGACGAAATTGATGAAATTTCAAAATGGCACCGTTAACGGTTTTTTTTTTTTTTTTTAAATCGTTTTATTAAAACGTTCGATTTTTTTTTTTTTTTTTTTTTTTTTGTATTTTAAATTTTTATTTGGTTAGGAACGTTTTACATTTGTTGAAAATCAAACCGATGCGTATACGACGTTTAATTATTATTATTATTATTAATATGTGAATTCACATTATTTACAAGGAGGGGGAGGAGGAAGGGGGAGGAAAAGATGGTCGTGGAAGCATCTCGGGGGAGGAATGTTTAAATTCTAAGTTCGGTTTCTGTGACGGTATTCCTTTGATTTTGCCTCGGTATGGATATGACGTGATGAGATGTAGACATACCCGGAGTGAAAAGAGGAGATATGGAGGGACTTCTCGTTGCGAGAGGGGAGAGGGATGGTGAAAAACTAGGCGACATGGCCGCGGATGTGTTGAAACTAGCACCGGATGCATCGTGACTTATCGGCGACCTTGGTAATAAGAGTAATTGATGCTGTTGTGATGAAACGGAATGATGAGGGGTCGATGAATGATGACTAGTATGTCCGGTTCTACGTGGAGCTATAACGGGAGCGGCAATGCTTCTAGGAGCCACGCTCGTCAAAAGCGGAGGGGGTAATGTTTTAGATGTCGATATGACACCTTTTCCGCCTTTGCTACTCGCCGAACCGCTATTTGTACTTTGCACACTCGCCGTATCGTCTTTTAACCTGGCTATTTCGGAAAAAACGTGTGCCAAGGGTTGATACTGTGGTCCCCAGTCTAATAAATAATCCCAATTATAGCTACCGGTCAATTCTTCTTCACTGTGTACTATAGAACTAAGACTTCCCGTCATCGATGGTTGTTGCGTACCGACTCCGTTCACTCCGGGCACGTCGAAACCGGAAAGTATAACCCGATCGACCGCACTCGAATCTTCCGCACTTCCTCTTTCACTAACGTCATTTAATTTGGCATATATTAAATTACTAATGTCTGCATCTCCGGCACCTTCTTCGTCGAACATACGCAAAGAATCTATTGGAACACCTTGCTGTAGTATATCCTTGTTGCCGGCGGATAAAGCGTCCGAACTCCTTCTCGACGTTGAACTTCCTCCGCCCACCACGGCACCACCCATACCTGAATTATCTACAATACCTAACCTAGCTAAATACTCTTGAGTATTATGGACGGAAACATCTGATATGTTATCTTCTTCCATGTTTTGATGATGTATCCCACCTTCTCGACCTTGGAGAGGACCTTCATTGATCATTCTTATTTCTTCGTCTTCGACGTCTTCGCCATCTTCGGCAGATCCTCTACCGCTACTACCCGATTGTTCGGATCCGCTCAATTCGGATGTCGTCGCGTTACCCGAACTGCTCGTGTTACGATGATTGTTTCCATACGGTGGTATTTCATCGTATTTTGGAGGTGCGAAAGGACCCGTACCCTGAATTCCTCCCGTTCCTCTTATCGGAATCGTATCGAACGCACTGGGATCGACGAAACCGTCCGAACCGTTCACCGTACTACCCGTGCTCAATGCGGGTTTGTTAACTTTTTTATTTCTTCGGTTTTTCATGTGCAGAAACAAAAACACTCCGCCAAAAATTAAAAGTATAAGAATAAGAGCTATCAATAGTCCTAGTGCCCAATCGGCAAGACCACCACCACCGCCGGTCGCCATGGATTTGTTATTGTTACCATCGACGGTACTCGCCAAATTCAAACCGTGTTCGGCAAGGGGATCGATGATTATTTCAACAACGGTCGTATTGGTAAGCGATCCTTGTTTTCCAGAGGATGCAGTCACTATAAAACTTATATCCCTGTTGGATTCCTTGACGTTATCATCAAGTTTCTTCTTAACCATAATGGCTCCCGTCGTTCTGTTGATTTTAAAATAAGTTTGTTGAGTCGTCAACTGATAAACGACTTTACCGTCGGGTCCCTTATCACGATCCGTCGCTTCGACGTTACCAATTATAGTACCGACGGGTAACAAACCATCCGAATATGGCGGAGGAATGGTAAATCTATAAGTCCTATCAGTGAACTGCGGATGAAATTCATCTCTGCTCTCTATTTCAATATGAACTCTGACCTTTGCCGTTTTACCATCGACATCGACGGCGTGTAAAATGAAAGCGTATCTGTTTTTATTTTCGTAATCGAAAACGGAATTCGTCGAAACGACGCCCGTGTTCGAATCAACTTTAAACAATTTCCAACTTCCTTCGGAATCCGTCGAACCCGAATCCGTCGACGTGGCAGCAGAAAGTATAGAATAATTTAACTTTCCGAAAATTCCTTTGTCGGCATCGACGGCTCTCGCCGTGAATACGCTCGTACCTACGGGTTCGTTTTCCGCTACGAATTCGAAATACTCCAAAACCGGAAATTTGGGTACGTTGTCGTTTTCGTCTTTCAATTTGATTTTAACCGTTGCCAAATTCGATAGTGGTCGATCCGGATATTTACCACCATCGCTCACTCTCACCAAAAGATTATAAACTGTTATACCATCGTCGTAGTCCAACAAATTATTAACTTTTATGGTACCATCTTTCGATTCGATGTAAAATAAATTTTCATCGTTTCCGGATATGATATCGTATGTGAGTTCCGTATTGGGGCCACCAGGTAAATCCGTGTCGTTCGCAAACAAAGTGATAACGGAAGTACCGATGGGTGACGATTCCGAAAGTGTCACCTCGTAAATACCATCAGAATTTAATCCTTGAAAAATTGGCGCGTTATCGTTAGCATCATCTATTGTCACGTATATCGTGGCATTATTCGATCTGTAAATATGATTTCCGGCGGAAACAAGTAGCTTATACGAATTTTTCCTTTCTCTATCTGGTTCTTTCAAAAGTACCAAATCACCGCTCGGACTGCAAAACAAATAAAAAAACGTTTAGTATAATAAAAACGCGGGATTTTAAAAATGACGTGTCACTAACCAACTCCAAACTCACCTTAATATTTGAAAAACTCCATCTTCGTTACCTTCGACGATTGAAAATTCAGCATTACTTCCTCCCGTTTGTGATTTACCATTATCGACTGATGCAATTTTTAATAAACTGCTACCACGTTGACTATCTTCTCTTATTCTTATCCTAATTGAAAAAATACCACGTGATTAACAATAGAAAAAGAAAACTCTTTCGAAAAAAAAAAAAAAATTTAAAAAAAAACTCACTGAAATTCTTCTTGTGTGAAATACGGTCCGAAATCTCTATTATTATTAACTCTAATCCTAACAGATGCCAGAGATGAAAGTGATGGCATACCATAATCTTCCGCAACCAATGCCAAATCGATATCTTTAACACCTTCCGTCATTATCATTTCCGTGAGCGACGTTTTATTCGCTTTCAATATCCCTTTGCTACCATCTATGGTTATACCTTTTACGGGTTTATATAACGAATATTTTATTTTGGCATTGTTACCAGAATCTAAATCCGTCGCGTTGACAGTTAGTAGAGGAGTCACGTGATCTGGACCATCTATTTAAAAACAAGACCCCATAAAAATATTAGTTTAACGCAGAAACGTTAAGCCGGGTAGTTAGAGCTACCGGAGGATGGTTAGATAGTTGGTACTACTACTACACGAGCGGAGGGTGGTAGGGGGCGAGGGGGGGGACGAAAATCAAGTGAAATGTCATCACGTTCTTATAATCACTATCCTAGCCGGGTATAATATTTAATTGGTGCCCCCAAGCCATTATATTCCTACGCATCTAACAACAACCATCACACTAAATATTATTATTATTATTATTATTTGTTTTTTAACAACCGATAGGTAGGTAGGTAGGTAGGTAGGGTGCCTTAAAATCCTCACCTGTGAGTACTACTTGATAATACGGTTTCGAAAAACTCGGAGCATTGTCGTTGACATCCGTCACTCGTATCATCAATGACGTTTGTGCCGTGTGCGCGGTATCCGACGCCATTATTGCCAAATTATATTCTTTTTTATTTTCGTAATCTAATTTTTTACCGAGTATTATTTTACCGCTGAATCTATCTATGCTGAACTCGTTTGTTTCCTTCGTTAGAAAATACGTCAGAGTTGGATTCGTGTCGACGTCGTTGGCGGTCACGGATGTTAATACCGTACCCACTTCGGTACCTGTTAGGAAAAACACACAAAATCAAACGATTGCGTCGATGGGATGAAGTTGAAAGGTTTGGCTATGACTTACCCTCGCTAACGGATATGACACCGTGTGGTGGAAACGTTGGTTGATTATCATTAGCATCGACGATGTTAACCCTTAACGTTGCCGTACCCGTGAGTTGTGGATTTCCTTCATCCGTCGCGATTATCGTCAATTTGTAAACGTCACGAATTTCACGATCCAATACTATGTTGGTTTTGACGAGGCCGCTAAAAGGAGGTTCTATGACGAAAGCATTATCGTGATTACCATCAACTATGTGATAGAGAACGTGAGCGTTTGAACCTTCGTCTAAATCCGTTGCGGATACCTTAAACGAAAAACGGTCGACGTTATGACGTGACATAAACTCTCGCGCGAGACTTCCGTAAAACATTTCCGGCATTTACCTGCATGACGTATGTTCCTTTATTATTACCCTCCCAAACGGAAGCAGTATAATATTCTTGCGTGAATTTTGGCGCGTTATCATTTTCGTCTTGTAATTTAATTATGACGTCACAATAACCAAACAAAGGACCATCGGTTTCCGCCATGACGGTGAGTTTGATGGATTTAAAATTTTCGTAATCTAAATAATTGACGGAACTTTGTTCGATTTTTATCCATCCGGTTTTCGAATCGATTGTAAATAAATTTTCGTGACGACCGGTCAACAACGAATATTTAATACGGTGACGTCTCCCATCGGTACGAACGGCGGAAACTTGTAATATTTCCTTAGACCCGGAAGTGTTTTCCAAAAGTGTGACGTCATATGTAGAATTTTGAAATCTCAGTGCGGAATTATTATTATCGTTTCCGTTTCCGATTCTTATTTCCAAAAGACCTTTACCACTTTTGGGTGGATTACCCCTATCCCTGGCTAATATTTCCAAATGAAATAATTTACCGGAATCGCTTGAAAGTGATGAACTCGCCGTGACCAATCCGGTATTCGGATTTATTTTAAATTTATTATTTGGGGGTTCGTTTAAAAACGAATAAACAATTTCCGAATTTGTACCCTCGTCATCATCCGTTGCCGTTACTTTAATCAAACTACTTCCGGCTTGAGTGTATATGGGCGCTTGTACGAAAAACGGATTCGATGTGAAAACCGGTTTGTTATCGTTAACATCCGTTATTGTGATTCGTACGGGTACCTTTTTCCATCTGGCATCGTATCTTCCGCCATCGCTGGCAACTACTTGAAATTCGTAAACGTTTATTTTTTCCCTGTCGAAAAATCTGTAACAAAAAAAATTGACGTCATTTCCGGTAAAAAAAAAATAAATTTTATTTTTGCGAGAGGGCATAATAAAATGGCGACGTTTTATTATGCGAGTAAATGGGGGGGGAAAAAAAAAAAAACAAATATGGCGGATCGATTCTTCTGTTACGTTTTGATGACGGAGCAAATTTCTCTCTCTCTTTCTCTCTCTTTGTCTCTCTCTCTCTCCTGATTTTTTTTTTTTTTTTAAACTTATGAAAAAATAATTTAAACCCTATAATTTTTCATTTTTATTATTATTATTATTTTTTTTTTTATATAAAATAATTTTGAAAATTATATTTAATGTACCTAAATTAGATCTTAGTCATGGTCTAAATCTTTCATTAAAAACCTTTTTTTTTTTTTTTTTCATATCCGTTTGTTATCAAAGAGAGAAAGAGAGAGAGAGAGAGAGAGAGAGAGAGAGAGACGGGATGGGATGGGACGGCAAAAACTTGTTTATAAAATAATAACCTCTATATATATCTCTCTCTCTTTCTCTCTCTTTTAATATTTTTTTTTTATTTTTCTACTTCCACGTCGACGACACCGCAATTATATCCCCCTCTCCCTCCCTCTCCCCCCATTCTCTCTCTCTCTTTTCGTAATTTCGACATTCGACAGACCAATTAATTTATTTGTTAAAGAAATTTCTTTTAGTAAAACGACTACTGTCGACGTCATTACGTCACCGCTCGATACCCCCCTTTCCCTCCTCCACATCTCTGAACTCCTCCTCCTCCTCTTCCCCCTTCCCTTTACTCCGATTCGAAATTTAAAAAAAAAAAAATGGCGCGAAAGGAAAAAATCCCTTTTGATCCAATTCGAATGAATCAGTTTTCTTTTGTATTATTTCGAAAATCCTGTCGTCCTTCCCCTCCCCCTTCCATTTTCCCCTTCACCCCCGCTTCCCGCTTCCCGTTTCCGTCGGTGATTTCCGGTTGGAAAGTTCCAAAAAAAAAAATTCTATTCTTTTATGAACTCGCATCCATTTTTTTTTTTTTTTTAAATCTTTTCCATTTTTTTTCTTTCTACTCCCACGTTAAAAGAAAAAGTGTCGTTAAAACGTGAAATAATAATGATAATAATGATTTTTTTTTTTAATAGCCGAAAAAAAAAATTTCGTAATAATAATAATAATAATGACGGAGAAGAAGTCAGATGGATGATGATGAGGGATTGTGACGGGAGCGACGGTGGCGGTGCGCGGTGGCGAAGAAGCGTAAATATGGCGTTAAAAAAAAAAAAAAGGGGGACTAACAAGGAGGCCGAGAACGAACGTGAGTATATTGTGTCCAATAATAATAATAATAATAATAATAATAATAATAATGGCCACTTTGAAATCATTAGTCATTCCGGGTGTTAATGTTTTACGCTCCTATCAGATGACATTCAAAATAAATAAAAAAAAAAAAAAAAATTTTTTTTTTTTCCCACAATTTTCGAAAGATTATCATTATTATTATTATCATCATTATCATCATCGTCGTGAATTTTTTTTTTTTTTCTTATCCGCGATAACAACAACAAAAAACCTGGAAAAATAATAATAATAATAATATGAAATTTTTTCGTAAATGGAAATTCCATTTCGCGTTGGCGTTCTCACGAACGTTCGCGTTATCACTAATATATATAAATTTCTCGTGCGATTACGTAACGACAACGACAAATAATAATAATAATAATAATAATATTTATTATGATAAAACGTCATTCGTAAACACACTCGGGTGGAATTAGGGAGAAATGAAAAATTGCGACGTTGCATAATCGTCACTCCCCACCACCACCGTGCTGACGTCACCGTCTTTTATTCAACGACGACGACGATGAGCCAGTGAAGCGAGAGATTCGGAAATGTTCGGATGTTTTCGTTACCCGTGCGGAAAATCTATCATAACGAACGAACGAACGAACGCCATCTTTTTTTTTCCCCCTTTTTAATATCGATCGATATCGATGACGTATTTTTTTTTTCAAATTATTATTATCATTATTATTATTATTATTTTTATTATTATTATTATTATAAACGACTTAAACTATTAATCGTTAATTATTTTATTTTTTTATATAATCAGGTTCGACGAGTTTGAAAAAAAAAATTTTTTAACGTTAATAATAATAATAATAATTTGAAGTTATTAAATATTAATAATAATAATAATAATAATAATAATAATAATAATAATGTAAAACGTGATTTCGCGTAGATGCCACGTGGGATATTCAAATATCTTCCTCTCTTTCCCCTCCCCCCTCTCCCACCAAAAACTAATTTTGGAATTTTATGTTTTCAAAAAAGGTATTCCAGGTACGACAATTTGGGCACGTGATGGAAACGGGAATGATCATTATTATTATCAATTGTATTTAATAAATAAGAGAAATGAGAAGAAGTAATCGTTAATACTCGATCAGTGCCGTAATTAGTACGAATGAGGGATGAAATCAATGATGATGATGATGATGATGATGATGACGATGATGATGATAATGGTGGTGACGATGATGACGATGATGATGATAATGAAGATGATTGTAGTAATGGTTGCGTTGTGGTGGTGGTGATGATGATGATGATGGGGATGTTGGTGGTGATAATAGTGAGGGTGGTGGTGGTGATGATTATAATTATGATGATGATAATGATGATATTAAAAGAGGTTTTGTAGGTTTTTTTTCCCTGAATTTCCTTGGGATTTTTTGTTTTTTGGAGAAAAAAAAACCAAAAAAAGGAGAAATCAATTAATAATAATAATAATAATAATAATTTTTTTTAGCCAACTCATCAAAATTGATTATTTTCTTTTAAAATTTTTTTGTTTTTTTTTTCTCCATAAAAAAAAAATTTCCAGGTTTTTATCATTATCATTATCATTATCAAAAAAAAAAAAAAAAAAACTATAGAAAATTATGAAAAGGTTATAAAATTTTAAAAAAAATAAAATTCATTCTTCAACTACTCAATACTAAGTGTTATGAAAACAATCATCATTATTATTATTAATATTTGAAAAAAAGATGGCGTAATTTTTGGAATCTTTTACTTCGTTCCAGAGACCGTTTTAAATTTTTCCAGATTTTTTTTTTTTTAAATGTAAAAAGCGAGAGAATAAGAAAGAAAAAGAAATTAATATGGCGGATAATAATACATAATGATGATAACACAACAAAAAAAAATCAATTAAACGATTGATTTATTATTATTATTATTGTCAAATTAAGGAGGAAAAAATGGCGCCAATTTTTAAAAAAATTAAATTTTCTTCAAATCGATTTCCGTTTTTATTAAGATTTTTATTCTCAAGTATTTAATTAAACTTTTTTTCCCGTAAATTATCATTATTATTATCCAACGTGGAATTAGTTAATAATAATAATAATGATAAAATCGTTCATTTCCTCGTTGGTGCCACGACTCAGACCCTTCACATTATTTTAATTGAAAGAAAAAAGAAAATGGAAAACAATAAGAAAATGACGTAGACGGTGTGAAAATTTTTTTTCTTTTTTCGCGTTTTTTTTTTTAAAATGGCGTCGTTTTATTTCCCTCTTCCTCCTTTTCCCTCCCCCTCCCCCTCTCTCTGTCTCTTTCCCTCGCGATTCTTTTTTTTTTTTTTTTTTTTTAGAAAGAAATTACAATTTAAATTAAAACCATTTAAATTTAATTAATTTTTTTCTTTTTTCTGTGCAGTCAAATATGGCGGCGGCGGCGGAGTTTTTTTCGAAATAATAATAATGATGATAATAATGATAATAATTTCATTAATAAAAACAAAACAAAAGAATTGAAGGGATAAAAACAACGAAAAAAAAAAAATTAATTAACGTAATTGAAATGAGTTTTTAGTTAATTTAATAATTTTTTTTTTTTTTTTAATAGAACAATAACTTTTTTTTAAAAAAAGAATTTCAGGTTGAAAAATATGTTAGATAAAATTAATAATAATAATAATAATAATAATACGGGAACCGGAAATGAACGAAAGAAAAAATGAATAAAAAAAAAAAAAAAAAATTTAAAAGCATCCACCCGTTAAATTGAAAAAAAAAAAATTTTTTTTTTTCCGATTGAATTTTATTAGTTACAAAAATTAACCGTAGATGTCGTCTCTGTCGTAAATGATGGCGGATATAAAAACAAAATGGCGTCGTGATCGCTGTCGTTCTTTTATTTTCAACGGTTTTTTGTTTTTTTTTTTAATAAAATCTTGTCGTTCGCGTCGTAAAAAAGTTATTATTATTATTATCGTTACGATTTGTTTTAATAAGTGTTTATGATTTTAAGACGAAAAAGTGTAAAATGGCAACAAAAAATGGCGACGAGAAGACAAAAGATTCGATCCATTAAAAAAACATGACATTAAAAAAAATGGAGGATGGAAAATAAAAAATTTTTCTCTCATTATTTTGAGCGTGGGTTTTTTTCGTGTTTAAAAAATTAAAAATTTTTAATTTAAAAAAAAAAAAAAGAGAAATAAGAGTAGGTTAGAGAGAGAGAGAGAGAGAAAAAAAAATATGGTGGAAACTTACCCAGATGTTGATATGACTCCAGTTTTATTATCTATTTTAAATAGCCAATGAGTTTCGTTTGCCAATGAATAAAATATTTTTGAATTTATTCCAGTGTCAGCATCAACGGCGTGTACGGTGAGAACGTCAGAATTTGGTAAAATGTCTTCAGGTATGGATGCCGTATATTTTTGCTGTGAAAATTGCGGATCGTTGTCGTTTTCATCGTCAACGACGATCGTTATGTTGCATGAACCCTGTGAAAAATCATTTGTCATTATTATTATTATTATTATTATTATTATTATTACCACTTGCTCTCTCTCTCTCTCCCTCTTTGTTCTCTTTATTACACTCTCTTTCTTTCTATCTGTTGTTACCTGTATTTCATTCTCTCTCTCTCTCTTTCTTTCCTACTCTCCTTTCCTGTATTTCTCTCACTCTCTCTTTTTAATTTTTCTTCAACGCTTTCTCTCTCTCTTCTCTTTCTTTCTCTTTCATTTTCTTTCTCTCTTTCTCTTTTTTCCTGTATTTCTCTCACTCTCTCTTTTTAATTTTACTTGAACGCTTTCTCTCTCTCTTTTTTTGTTTTCATTTGAACGTCTTTCTCTCTGTCTGTCTTTTTTCTTATTTTCTTTCTCTCTTTCTCTTTTTTCCTGTATTTGTCTCTCTCTTTCTCTTTCATTTAGTCTTTCTGTTTTTACCTGAACTTCTATCTCTCTGACACACTCTCTCTCTTTCTTTCTTTCATTCCGATCAATAGAAAAAAAAAAAAATTTTCGTACCTGCAAAGACGTCGGATTTCCTCTATCCTGAGCCGTTATACCCAAAACATATTTCGAATGAACTTCTCTGTCGAGTGGTCTCGCGCTCAAAAGTCCAGAATGTATATCTATGCTGAATTTGTTACCGATGTTACCGGAAGTTATGGAATAAGTTATTTCACCGTTGACACCCTCGTCCAAATCCGATGCCACGACTTTGTGTATAGCAGACAAATCCGTATTTTCCGGAACGTGTATGGGATAACAAGAACCTTGTTTAAATTCGGGAGCGTGATCGTTAACGTCCAACACGTTTACGGTCAACAAAGTGACGTCATACTGTCGTTTTCCGGTTTCGTCAGTGACGTAAATGGGAAAAGTATAAACGCTTCGACTTTCTCTATCCAACGTGGATTTAATTGTAACGAGTCCTGTTTTCGAATTGATGATAAATTTATCTTCTGCCACGCCAACGGGTATCTGATATGTCATGTTCTTTTTAATGCCTTTTAAAAAAAATAAAAAAAAAAAAAAACCAACCAATTAGAACCAAAAAAAAAAGGAAATTTTTGTTTGTTTGTTTGTTTGTTGTTTGTTTTCTTTTTTTTTTTTTCTCAAAACGTGTCAAATAAATGAAAAATGATCCTTTTCTTATACATTTTTGACATCAAAATAAAAAGTGAAAAAATAAAAAAAAAATATTTAGCTAATGCCACTGTCATGAATTCTAATCCATCCATTAAAAAATTTTCATTCGTTTTAATAATAATAATAATAATTCGATTATCGATACGTACGCATACACGGATTTTTTTTTTTTTTTTGTATTGAAAATCGAAATTAACGATTATCGATAAGTTGTGCGTGTGCGTGTGTGTGTGGAGTTCATCGTCATTAAAAAAAAAATTATTATTATTATTATTATTATTATTATTATTATTATTATTATTATTATTATTATTATTATTATTATTAATCCAATTTACTGAAATCCAATATGGCGACGATGTTAAAAACTTTTTTCATTTTTTTTGTTGGTGCGTGTGCGAGTGTGTGCGTGTGCGTTGTAACAACTCTCACTTTGACGAAATTACTTTCAAATTATTATTGATAATAATAATTATTATTATTATTATTATTATCATACGGGAAAAGAAGGTTCGAAGAGAAAAAAACGAAAAAGAATAACCGTAATTAAAGGAATAAAAAAAAAAAAACAAGAGTAGTCAGGTACGGTAAGAAAAATAATTTTCAAATTTCCCCAACCGTCGTGATGAACGTGGCACGAAATCATCGTGTCAATAGATAAATAAATTCGAAATAAAAATGGAGAAAAATATATTTAAAAAAAAATGGCGGATGGCAAAACTGTCGAGCTTTTTTTCCCACACGTTCCCACCCATTTTTTCCTTCCTTATCTTTTCCGAACGCGCGCCATTTTCTTTTTTTCCCCACCTCACCCCATCCCACTCCACACTCCTCTTCCTCATCGCGTATTTGACTCCGCCCCCTTTTCCTTCCTTAGTTTTTCCCCACCTCCAACGAAACAAACAATCTCTCGTACTCGTTTTTTTTTTTTTTTTTAATTTAAAAAAAAATAATAATAATCAACTTTTTTTAAATTATTTAATTATTATTGGTTATAAGCCATCGTCGTCGTCGTCGTCGTCGTCGACGACGATTACGTCGACGAATTCTCCAATAATTTTTTATTAAAAAAACTTTTCAGTAGATCAACAACAACAACAACAACAACAACAACAACATACATACCTGACTATAATTTTTTTTTTTAACATTAAATACATTTAACTACCCATACCCGTACGATCAACGTTCAATTATTATTTTTATTATTATTATTAATTATATATATAAATTCCATGAGAGGTTAATTTATAAAAAAAAAATTTCGAAGGAAAACAAATTCGGTTTTCGAAAAAAAAAAAAAAAAATTGTTGTGAATAGAGTAAATTATAGAGGGGAAAAAAACATTAATGACCTTGAATCCGTGAGTTTTTACCTCTATGGAATTTAATTTTTGTAAAATGTGTAGTGGCAGAAGTAAAGTTTTAATAAATTATTTGATTACGTAAAAAAACGGATAATAATGTTCAATTTACGAGGAGTAAACGGTTTTTAAAAAAAAAACTTACCGCCGCTTCCACCGCCGCTGTGACCTCCACCGCCGCCGCCATTACCGCCGCCATTACCACCGTTGATATCAAAATTTAAATATCTTGCTTCGACGGTAATTATAGAACTTCCAGATGGTAAATCTTCCGCAACGGAAACCGTATAATTTGAATTTATAAATTTCGGCGGTATTTCGTTATTACCCTGCGTAACTATATTAACGGACGCCATTTTGAATTTTTGCGGCAAACCGTGATCCATGGCGGTGACATTTAAAACAAACGAATTTTTTTTCAACGTGTTATTATCGATAACGAAAGATTTTGATAATTTTAATATTCCCGTATCGTGATCCAATGAAAATTTACCATCGTCGTTACCGCTCGTTATCGTGTAACTAACACGTCCATTTTCATCTGAATCTAAATCCACGGCGATTATTTTCGCAAGTACGGACCCGGGTTCGATGGCATCGTTAACGAGTATAGATTTCGTCGTGGGTGATATGAAATAAGGTTCGTTATCGTTCGAATCCGTTATTTTAATAATAAACGTGGCAGAAGTCGTACGACGTTCGGTTACGTTCACCGCTTGATCCGTTGCCGATACAATCAATGTGTATTCGGTGAGTTGTTCGTAATCCAGGGGGGAATTTAATGTTATTATACCCGTTAGCATATCGACGGCAAATACTTTTGTACCTGATTCTGGATAACATCGTAGCAGACTATATCGTAAATCGGAATTAGATGAGGTATCAGCATCGAAAGCCGAATAATTTGATATGACCGTGCTGACCGGTGTGTCTTCTGGTAATTCTATTGTTATCGGATTCTCAGGCCAAACCGGTGAATTATCATTAACGTCTACTATTTCAATACGTATGGTTACGGCACTGCTTTGAGGGTTGTTTGTCGCACTCGTGTCCAACGCTCTCACTTCCAATAAATAATCAGATTGTTTTTCTCTATCCAATTCTCTACAAACGACTAAATTTCCAACTCTTTTATCTATTTCGAATGCTGGCTCGTTGTCGTCGTCGTCGTCGTCGTCACCGCCGCTCGTGTTCGTCATCGCCGTCGTCCTAGATGATGATGATGATGATGATGAACTCGTGAGCGTGTATCGTACAAGGTTATCATTTTGTTGTTCTGTTAACGAATTGAATGAATCCGTTGGTGCGACAGTACCGACGACGTAACCAATTTTAACATTTTCTTTGACCTGATATAAAGAAAAAGAAAAAAGAAATTAATAAAAAATTCAACAAAAAGAACGTTTAGAGAGAGAGAGAGAGAGAGAGAGAAATCCGCGCGATAAATTTAAAAAGGAAAATTATTCGACGTCGACGATGATGATGATGACGAAGACGAAGAAGAAGAAGATCGTAAAAATTATTTTTATGGACGATTATAACCATTGTCACGAATGTAACGACCGATATGATCACCCTGACCACCCTAATGGTAAATGCCGAAACGATTTGATGATGATGATGATGATGACGATGACGTTTCACCTGGAATTTCTGGAAAGTAAACAAATCCGACTACGACGACGACGATGTCCGGAAATAAAATAAAAAAGAAATACTCGCAGTCTGCATTATACGAATGACGTTTACTTATTGATTTATCATCATCATCATCATCATCATCATCATCATCATCATTATCATCATCATCGTAAACAACTCACGGTTAAAAAAGAGGAAAAAAGAAAAAACGCGCGAGATTTAAATTTTTCGAAAACGTTCGTAAAAAATCGAACAAGTTTTCGAAACTAAAAATCATCATCATCATCATCGTCACCATTATCATTATTATCATCATCATAATCATCATTATCATCGTAATCAACTCACGGTTAAAATAGATAATAATAATAATAATAATAATAATAATAATAATCAATTAAAATAACTTCCAGGAAAAACAATAAAAAGAATTTTTTTAAATTTCAAAAATGATGAATGATTTTTTCCAAAATAAAAAAAAACCTTTCCAGAATGATGACGTAACAAACTCACACAAACGGATAAAAATTTTTCTCTCTCTCTTTCTCCCTCTTACCTTCTCCTCCCCTTTCCTCCCCCTCACTCTCTTTCATCTTCATACCAAATCTTTTATTATTAAATATTAAATCTCTTAAATCTTTTTTTTTTTTATTTAATTGTAAACTTTTTTTTAAAGAAAAAAAAATTCAATATAATAATTCCAGGACGAGGTTCGAAAAATTCCAAAAAAAAAAAAATTATTATTATTATTTCCACGACGACGATGATAATAATAATGATGATACGAGAGGGGGGGGGGTATACGCATGCGTAATTTCCTTTTTTTTTTTTTTTTTTTTATAAAGAAGTAAATCCAAAAGTTACGAGCAACGAGACCGGTTTCCATTAAAAAAAAAAAAAAAAAATTATTGTCATCCTTCCAGCTTATCGAATCTACAAGAAAAAGAGAGAGAGAGAGAGAGAGAGAGAAAATGATAATTCATTGCTCGAATCGGAAAAAGAATATAAAAAAAAATCTCCAGAACCAAGATGATGATGATGATGATGATGCAACAAAATTCTTACCAGAAGCTGTCCAATTAAAGAATTAATAGAATCCACACGCAAAAAAAAAAAAAAAATTTTTTTTTTGGAGATTTTTTTTTTACGTGAAAAAAAAACGTGAACGATGATAATAATAATGATAATGATAATAAAAAATTACGTAATAATTATAATTAATAAATAAAAAAGAATTAAAATTCCATTAATGATAATAAGAAAGTGATAAACGCGCGAAACGAATAAGAAAATTTTTTTTTGGTTAAATGTAAATATCGTGTTTTTATTTTTTTTTATTACCTTGTAAATTAAAGTTGACTCATTTAATACGTTCTGGAAATGGTTGTGATGGTGATGGTGATGGTGGTGGTGGTGGTGGTAGTGGTGGTGGGGGGTAAAAGAGTAGAAAAAAGAATTTTTTCCTTACCTTGAATACCAAACTCGAACTCGTAAATGTCGGCCTGTGATCTGTTAAATCCAAAACTTCGACTCTTAACAAACGTATCGTTTGTTTAGGCGGTTTACCACCGTCCGTGGCAGCAACAGCCAAACGATATATCGATCTTTCTTCGTGATCTAAAGTCGTACGAGTTCTTATAGATCCGGTGATTGGATCGATTGTGAATAAATCGTAACCGTCGGAATCTCGTCCTAAAACAATAATTAAAAAAATTATTAAGAAATTTTTTTTTGTCGTGGAATTAGAAAAAGTAAATAATACGTACCTTTAAGTATTGAATAAGTTATAGTTGAATTTTTTCCTTTGTCTTTATCAATGGCTTTGATTTTAGTCACTTCCGTACCTCCGGGTTGTTCTTCTCTCACGCTCACCACATCTTCCCTCGGATCTAAAAGTTCTGGAGCGTTATCATTAACATCCGTTACGATAATACGTACTGGAACTCTTGAACTCCTCGGTGGTACTCCCTGATCTCTTGCTTCTGCCACGAGTTCGTAAATTTCTTTCTTTTCTCGATCCAAAGATTCTTTTGCGTATATGTCACCTGTAACGTGGTAGTAAAAAAAAAACTTTTCGTTAACGCGACCTTTGACATTTTTTTAACAGGAAAATTCCAGTCAAATTCTTTCCAGGATAAATCAGTCAATCAATCAATAAACTATCGATATATCGATTTCATTATTGATCGAATCGAAATTTAATTTTAAAACTACAACAACTCGAATCAAAATCCGTTACTATTATTATTATTATTTGAGAGTCGATCGACGAAATTTTTTTTAAATTCCAAAAAAAAAACTGGAAAAATCCGTGACTTTATTAATAGTTTTATTATTATTAATAATAATAATGATAGAGGCTGGAGAAATTAAAAAGGTTTTTTTTTTTTTATCCATGATTGAAAATGACGAATTATATATTAAAACTCCAGTTTTTTTTAATAAAAATTGCTTTTCGATCGTAATTAAATCTAAATTTAAGTTTAAAAAAAAATATTGTTATTATTATTATTATTTATAATTATTTAATGATAACGGAATTTTTTTTTTTTTCGCTGGAGAAAAGTTGAAGGTCGATTAAAGTGGTTAACGTCCGTTCGTACGTGTACGTGTATATCGGGAATTATAAGATGCATGAAAAAGCATACAACACGTTTTAAATTTTTTTACATTTCCAGTAAAATTTTTCCAGTTATTGTAAAATTTAAACGATGGGAAAAAAACTGGAATGTATACGTAAACAATGTTTATTCAAATGTTTTCATTTTTCAACCACCACCGCGACCGCGACCGCGACCACGTGTTTTTTCTATTTAGGTCACGCCCCTTTTTTTTTAATTATAGCGAACTCTATCGGAATTTGCAAAAAATATATTTTTTTCCATTTAACCTCCTCCTTTTTCTTTATAACTTCCCCTCCGTCTTTTTCTTTCGCGTTTTCTTTCCCATCCCTTCTTTTCTCCTTATTTTTTTCCAACCCCCTCCTTCCCCTTTTTTCCCTTACATTTTCTTCCTTCCCTCTTTTCTCCCTCCCACCACTTTTCTATCTCCCCCTCTCACTTTATTCTTCCTCTACTTTTCCCACTCTTTCTCTTCACCCCGCGTTTAAAATTTCCCCACCTCTCTTTCTTTCTTTTAAACTCTTTTTCTCTTCCCACGCCCCCTTTTCCCTCACCATCCTCTCTCCTTCTCTTCCCCTTCCCTCCCTCCCTCTCTCCTTCTCTCACGTTTTTTTTTTCGTTTCATTTCAAATTAAATCCGAAATTTATTCACTTATTTATTATTATTACCATTATTATTATTATTATTATTATTATTATTATTATTATTATTATAACCATTATTAACATTATTATTATTATTAATAATATTATTGTTGTTGTTGTCGTTGTTGTTGTTGTTGTCAAATAATCAAATTTGTGCGATTATCGGCGTCGATGTGGAAAATTTAAATTTGGAAGCAGAAGAAAATTAAAAAAAAAAAAATCAGGTTTTGAGTTTATTAACCGTCGGAAATTATTTGAGATTTTTTTTTTCTTCTTCTTCTTCTTTAAACCGAAATCATCATTATTATCATTATTATTATCATCATCGTATTTAAGTCGTTTTTTTTTTTCCAGAGCGAACGACAAACTATAAATAACATCATTAGTACTTTTATTATTATCATTATTATTATTATTATTATTATTATTATTATTATTATTATTATTATTATTAATATTATTATTATTATTATTACTTTTTTTTTTTTTAACTTTTATTTTTTTATTAATACGAACTAATATGGGAAGTTGTGATGGCGGTGGTGGTGGCGGTGCTAATACGGACGGATAAAGGTACGAACGGGTATTAGAACACGCAACGTTTTTATCCGAATTCACGTACACGCATCCCAATCAATACCGATATCCCTTTCCCCTTCCCTCCCCCCCTCTCCCTGTTTCTTCTTCTTCTGGAACGTTCTAATATTTTCGCATTCGTATCCGGATCGTAAAAAAATTAACTTCCGGGTACAAAAAAGTTTTTTTTTTCTTTTACGACTCGAATTTCCACGACATACGCGCGCGTGCGCGTGCGCGCAAAAAAACGTCGTAATAATAATAATAATGATGATAATGATAAACCTTAAGTTAAGGTACGACATAAAAACCATAATAAATCATTCGGATACGTAATAAATAAAATAATAATAATAATAATAATAATTATACAACCCAAGAGAGACGGGAAATGAATTCTTTTCTTTTTTTTCTTTTAATATTTTTTTTTCCGTCGTAAAAAATTATTATTATTATTATTATTATTATTATTATTACTATTATTATTATTAAATTTCTTTTTCCGGTTTTGACCCATTTTCGTAAGTTTTTGTTTCCGAAAAAAAAAAAAAAAAAGAAAAAAAAGTCAAAATGGCTGAATTCCTTTTTCTTTTTTTTGATTAAAGTAAAATTTTCAACGTGTAATGAGATAAAAATAAAATTGTAATTAAAAATCAGGTATTTCCAGGTTTATGATGATAATAATAATAAATCCTACGTGCGGGATATATATAAGGAAAGACAAACGTAAATTAAATAAAGATTATTATTATTATTATTATTAAAGGAGGAAAATCGTAAATATTTTCATAATAATTAATAATTATTTAAAAATATCATTCTAGAATGTTTTAGAATCTTTGTCGTCGTCGTCGTTTTGCTTTTAGATTTTCCAGAATTTTTTTTTTTTTATGAGGATAAAAAATAATAATAATAATAATAATTACGTACGTATCATTAACCGGTTGAAAAGAAAAATCGAAAAACCCGGAAAAATAAAAAGAACGAATTTAAATAATTGATAAACGTAAGGATTAATTGTTTTCTTACGTTAATTTTTTTTTCAAATCCTTTTTTCTTTTAAATTTTTTTTATTTAATTCAATTTCGGTTGTTGTCGCGTGACGTCACAAAAAATCGATCGATAAATCGATTCTCGATCGGATTTCGTAAAAAAAAAAAAAAAAAAATCCTCCGAATTTATATTAATAATAATAATAATTGATGATGGAAATTAGTTTTTATCGCGACTTTTACATTAACGATCCTCGGACAACAACAAAATTCGTTTTTTTTTATTATTGACGTGTTTTGATTCGTGTTTGTTTGTTTGTTTGTTTGTTTGCTGTTGTTTTCGTTTCACGTCGTTTATTAATTCGTCTCGTAATCTTTATTATTATTATTATTACAACAACAAAAAATCGTCGAACGGTTTTTTAAAAAATATTAAAAAAATGACGAATTTTGAATTACGATGGAGAGAGAGAGAGAAGGGGCGAAATGGGGGGAAGGTAGAGGGGAAAATGGTAAAGAGAAAAGAAAAAAAAGGTACCTAACGCCACGTCATTATTAATATAAAAAAAAATTTAAATTCAAATCGATTAAATTCGTTTCTTTTCCAGATTTTTAAAAAAAATCATTATTAATATTTTATATATATATCGATGATAACGACAACAACAACAACAACAACAACAACAATAATAATAATAATAATAATTTTTGTATAAAACCCATCAACATGTTATTAATTATCATTATTATTCGTTTTTTTTTTTATTGATGTAACGATGCCAAAAAAAAAAAAATTTCGAGTTTAACAACAAATGGATTAACAACAACAATAAAAAAGTAGATGAAAAATTCTAAATTCGCTCCTGAAAACTATTCGCGAAAATAAAAAACGAAGGGGGAGGGAGGGGGGAGGGGGAGAGGTGGGAAAGGTGGGAAGAGGAGAGAAAAAGAAGAAGAGAAAGATTGTAAACGGGGAGAAATAGCCACAAAACCTGTTGATTGATTGTAATTCAATAAAAGATTTAGAACAACAACAACAACAAACGAATTATTATTATTATTATTATCACAACAGTTCGTTTTGATGTTTGTCGGATTGTTTTCCATGTTTGTCGGTTTGTTTTCTATCCTCCGATCCCTAAGGAATAAACCCCCGAATATCATAATAATGCCTGATGGATACGTTTAGTTTTGTTATAACCTATGACGTCACAAAAATTCTTCTTTATTATTATTATTATTCTTCCACTTGAGAAAAAATAGTCGGGGGTTGTCGGGGGGATGGGAGTGAGTGCCGGGGGAGGGCATAATCCGTTTGTTTACAATCCATTTAAAAAATACTAAAATTCGATTTTAACTTGTACAAATATTTATGCGGATGCTGGAGAATTAACAAAAAAAATATTTGGGGAGGCGGGGGGAAACTTTACCTTTTTCTTTCCGTACACACAGACTGTAAATATCTAGTGACACGAAAAACGTTTTTTTTTTTTTTGTCATTTCGTCGTGTTTGTACAAACAAACATTAATTTATTTATTTATATATTTTTTTTAATAAATATATTTGTTTCTTCCTTTCCTTTTCCCTCCCACCCCCTTTATCCCCCTCCCTTAATAATCGGGGGATCCTTTTATCTAACCGTTCGTCGTGGTTGTTGTCATCGTCGTCATTGTCTTTCTCTTTCGTTTGTAATTTTCTTATTATTATTTTTAAAAAAATAATTTTTGTTGTTGTTTCTCTCGTGATTTTGAAAACGGTCACGATTTTTTTTTTTAGTCTGGTGCCACTTCTATTACTTGATATTAACAAAAAAAGAGTAAAAAAAATGTAAAAAAACGACTTACCCGTCGTGGGATTAATTTTAAAACTCGAATTATTCGACGGTATGAATGAATATTTGATCAATGAATTTTGCCCGTAGTCTAAATCCACGGCGGATATTTTACCGACGGGTGAATTTGGCGGTAAATTTTCTTCAATTGAAAATTCGTAATTATCCATTTGAAATTTCGGATCGTTATCATTTGCATCCGTTACTGTGATAAGAATTTTACACGTTGCCGTCAATGGCGGCGTACCGTTATCAGTTGCCGTTATCAGTACGTCGTATTTATTTATCGTTTCCCTATCCAGATTTTCTTTCAAATATATCAAACCGCTATTTGGAAATATACCGAACGTTTCATCATCCACGTTTCCGGTCGTACCGTTACCAATTATTTTTTTTATACGATACGTTATCCTTGCATTATTACCGGTATCCTGATCCGTTGCTGCCACTTGCAATATCTGCCACGGAAGAGGAAAAAACAAAAAAAACGATTTAATAAAATTTTTAAAACGTTTCTTCTTCTTCCACGTCATAAACGATTACTTCGACGTAAGGTAACGGATATGTCGTGGAATTAGAAAACAATCGTGTCACGCGTATCAAAAGTTGTTTTACTCACCTGCGAATTTATCGGTAATGATTCTATGACGTTTACATAATATTCGGATCTTTCGAAAATTGGCGCGTTATCATTAACATCCTGGACTTCGATGATAAGAGTCATGTTTGATGATAAGGTTGGAATTCCAGAATCTGTTGCCACGATAACGAGTGAATGTCTTTGATTCATTTCGTAATCCAAACGTTTCGTCAGTGTTAAATGACCCAATATCGAATCCATTTTGAAAAAATCTTTCGACGTTGATGATGATGATTTTTTACCGAATAACAAACTATATCTCACGACGCCATTTTCTCCAGAATCTTTATCTATTGCGTGTGCTTGATAAAGTGGAGTTCCAGGTTCGATATCTTCCGGTACTGATATTCTAACGTTATTCGAACCGAATTCCGGAGCGTTATCGTTAACGTCTTCTATTTCGATGTTTACCTGTATAAACAAACAAATTTTTATCATTATTATTATCATCATCGTTTCATTCATTCCAGGTTATCCAGATAATCGTGGTTACGTCATTGAGCACTTTAATATAAAATTTTTTCCATAACGATTTTACAAAAAAAAAAGAAAAAATTCTGGAAGGTAAACGAATGGATACTTAAGTACTCGGTAGATGAAAGGAGAGAAAAAGAGAGGGGGAAGGGGGAGGGGAAGGGGAAGGAGGGAGAGAGATGGAAAAAAAAGAAAAGTCATGTTTTCCATCAAACTAAGGAAATAATAATAATGATAATATAAAAAAATTAAATTTTATTGTGAGAAAAAAACGAAAAAAAGAGAAAAAAATTTCCAGAGGTTTTTATTTTCACACGTTTGCTGAAAAAATAATAATAATAATGATTATTTATACGTACTTGTGTGTGTCCATAAGTCGGATTCGATTCTCCAGACAAAGCTTGAACGTTTAATAATATCGATGAATGAATTTCGTGATCTAATATCGTAGATGTTTGTATTATTCCAGTTTCGGGATCGATTGAAAAATTACCCTCGGGATCACCCGAATGTATGTAATATTGTATTGAATCGTTTGAACCTGGAAAAATAATAATAATAATATTATTTAAAAAAATGGATTCTGGAGAATGATTATGCGACTTTTTTTTTTTTTTTGGTAATCGTTTTTCTGATAATGTGTCCAGGGTAATTGTGTAAAAAAAAAAATTCGTGTCCATTTTCTTTTTACACAAAAATATTTTCAGGTGAGTTTAAGTGCATTTTAAGTACATTTTAAGTGCGTTATAACGTTTAAGTGCGTTTTAGGTACGTTTAAATGTGTTGTGGTTAGTTTAAGGTTACGGTTTAAGTGCGTTCAGATATTTTGCTAATTACGTTTAGAGTTTGTTTTGTGATTGAATTTTTAATATGGATGGTTGTTGAGGTACGTTCAGATATGGTTTCGAGATGCGTTCAGACACGCGATTTTTATTATTATTATTATAGTTGGAATAAAATGAAAAATGTCTATACGAATAAGAAAATGAGAGGAGAGGAGGAATTAACTAAAAAAAAAAAAAAGTTTTTGCAACGGGCTTTGTCAGCTCTCAATCTCTCTCTCTCACTCTTTCTTTGTTTTTTCTTTTGTTTTCTGTAATTCTAATTTGTTGTCTCTCTCTCTTCGTTTCCTTCTTTTTATTTTCTCTCTCTCTTCTCTTTTTGTTCTCATTTTGTTCTCTGTCTTCTTTTCCTTCATTTTGTTTTTTCTCTCTTCGTTTTTTCTTTCTTTCTATTTTGTTTTCTATCATTGTAATTCCTTTTCTGCTTCTCTCTTCATTTCTTTCTTTTTATTCTCTCTCTTTTCCTTTCTTTCATTTTGTTTTCTTTCTCTCTTTTTCTTTTTCTCATTTTGTTCTCTTTCCCTCTCTCTCTCTCTTCCTTTGTTTCATTTTGTTCTATTTCTCCATCTCTCTTCGTATTGTCTTTTTTTTTCTTTCTTTCTCTCTCTTTCTTTCTTTCATTTTGTTCTCTCTCTTCTTTTCCTTTATTTTGCTTACTCTCTTTCCCTCTCACTGTTTCTTTCATTTTGTTCTTTCTCTTTTTCTCTGTTCATTTCTTTTTTTTATTCTCTCTCTCTCTTCGTTTCCTTCATTTTATTTTTTCCTCTCCCTCTCTCTTTTTTCCTTTTTCTCATTTTGTTCTCTTTCTACCTTTCTTTCATTTCATTGTCTCTTCCTTTCATTCATCTTCTTTTCATTCATCTTCTTTTCTCTCATTTTCTCTCTCCCCCTTCCTCCCTTTTCCTGTACCTTTTAATACTTTCAATTTTGTTTCGAACAAATTCATTACGTATAATTTTCTTCATTCGAAAAATTTTCTTTTCATTTTGTTTCTTTTTGTTTTCGCATATCTGCTTATCGTCGTCCTCGTCGTCGTCGTCGTCTCCATTTGGCACGTATGCTAATATTCGTTATCGTACATCAAATCAAATCACTCCAGGTGGGATCATCTTGTTTCTTTCTGGACAAAAGAATACCATTCATTCATTCATTCATTCGTTTTATTTGTATTTTTCAGAAAAAATTATGATAAATGATTAAAATATAAAAAACAGGTACGTTCACTAAAAAATTAACCAAAAAAAAAAATACGATTTCAATTGTTTGTTTCGTTTGTTTGTTTGTTTTAATTTTTTTATTAAAATTATATTCGGATGAGGACATCCAACGACAAACTCGTA